TAAGATAAAAATTATACATATTTGTATAAAATCTTAAATATTATTATTATTTAATACTGGTAATATTTATTACATAAAAAAGTTAAGTTAGTAGCTACAATATAGTGCAGAGTATTAAATGTGATAACTTTGCCATTCATGCATGTTAATGTTTATGTGTGTGTATTTTTTATACACACACAAATACAACATTATTAATCATATTTATGCAAAAATATTGATAAAATTATTATTTATATGTCTCCGACTAGTCCCTGTCTAGGCGTCCGCTTAGCCGCCTAAGCGCTAAGTACTAAGCTGGCGCCCGACTAGCGTCTAACGCCTTTAAGAACATTGACTCAAGAAATAATAATAATGAAAATAATAATAACAACAACAACAATAGTAATAATAATAATAATAATATTTATTATTATTATTATTATTATTATTATTATTATTATTATAAGAAAAAGAGATAAATCATGTATGAACTTTTCTGATCTGAATGTTTCTGATTTGATCTGAATCTTTCTGATCTGATCTGATCTGAATGGTTCTAATTTGATCCGATTTAATCTGAATATTTTCTGATTTGATCAGAATTTTTGTAATGTGATTTTATCGGAAGAAAATAAAAATAAGCAAATAAATAAGTAGTAATAAGAATAAGAAGAAAGGACTTCTTACCTACCGAACCCAATTAAGTAACACAGCCTCTGTATAGAGAGTAGAGAGGCGCCGCAAGGTTTTATGGTATGATCCATATCTGGGGTCGCCACTGCCCGGGATAAACTCGACTTCCTAAACTCCGCTATCATCTTTCTAACTAGTATATTACCTGTGCGATGCACGGGAATATTACTCATGCGATGCACATGAATATATTAAAAAAAATGATATTTTAAAATAATAAAGAGAAAATAACAAATAATACTGTTAGAATCCCACACCGGAAAAGTTTGAATCAACAAAGTGTTATATTAAGACATGAGTTACTCCTCCTATCAGGTTGACCTTTTAGGATGGAACCCCGGGTCTTAACATGGTATCAGAGCCAATTCCGATTGTGATTTGACAGCTTGTTTAGCACCCATGATTACGGGTAGCTTGTTAAGGGTTTGTTTGGCCCATTTATACACCCCGATATTATCCAGACCGGTTTGGGTTGAGGGGGCGTGTTAGAGTATTTGTCCCACACCGGAAAGTTATAAACCAATAAACCACTATATAAGGCTTTGACTTACTTCTGCTATCGGGTTGACCTTTTAGGATGGAACCCCAAGTGTTAATATGGTATCAGAGCCAAACTGATCCATAACCATGGTGTGGGCCGCCTTATGACAAAATGACAACACGATTAAAAAATGACAATGACGAACTGACGAAGAAATGATTGACGACACGATCCAGACGAAGTGTCTCGTCGTGAGGAGGGGTGTTAGACTCCCACACCGGAAAAGTTTGAATCAACAAAGTGCTATTAAGACATGAGTTACTCCTCTTATCAAGTTGACCTTTTATGATGGAACCTCGGGTTTTAACAAATACCATCGTTAAAAAAAGATGATATTTTAAATTATTGCATGCAAAATTAATTACTTAACATGAAAAAAAATAAACAACCTAGCTAATGTAAGTGTATATCAATATTTTGATAAATATGTAGTACTTCATTCATTCTTTTTTAAATGCAACGGTCCACTTTTCATATTTGCCAACACACAAGTTTAACCATTAATTTCTTTTATATCTTATTAGTAAAAAAATTAAAAATATATATTTTGAAACATTAAAATGAGAGCAATTTAAAAATATATTTTTTAAATTCAATATGTAATAAATTAAATAATAAAGTAGAGCCAAAGTAAAACATGTGAATAGTGAAAAAAATCCAATGTTGCATTTAGAAAAGAACGGGAAAAGTATAAATTACAATTACCGGATGTAAGTATGAATCAATGTGATGATTTTAAAAATCCAAATATTCTCTACTTCTAGCTTTCTTTTGTGAACCATGCAAACCATTTAAAAACCTGAGTAGCTTGAAAAGATGGATTGAAATTTGAATAAATGTAATAAAAAAATGCATTACCCTATCACTGGAAAATATATTCATAGAGATGGACTTACTTAGAAATTAGACCACATAATACCATATCATTTGAGAAACGTCTTCATTCCGATTTCAGTTTCATCTCCTTTTCGTAAACCTCAATTTATAAGCTAAAAATATCCTCAGATTAAACCGTAACATTTTCTTCTACTGTTTTTCATTACTATTATTTTTTCTTGGGTATCATTTTTGAGACTTTAGTAAAATATGGAGCAGAAATTAAGACGTCCTTCGGATATTGAATATTTATTGTTTCAAAAATCAAAATTATTTACCTTGTTGGATTTGAGATTATAAGTTATATTGGTCATTCATAAAAATTAATTTCTTGCTTATTTAGTTGAGAAAAGTTATAGCATATGTGATTAAAATATGGACTTCTTATTAAAATTTTATTATATATGTTTTTAATTGGTTTGAAATGATATGATCTTATATGATCACCACACAAAAATTACGGGATTGACACGAATTGACCTGTGATTTCATGCCAAACTGCTTGTGCCAAATTGTTTTTGACATGAATTTAACATATCCCTATCACATCCTCTATGGATTTTGGCGAATCCCTACAAAAAAATCTACGTCAATTTCCTTACTTTTTATATGGTGTGATAGATATTTTTCTACACGTTTTTAGTATTGTCTAATTCATGTCAGACCCAATCTAATATGATATCGTTTGATTTGATTTGATTCAGGTATTATAGGATTTCAAAGTGATCAGTCTACTCTAGTAAAACAAAGACGATTGGGTTATCTTGTTTGTTTGGGTTTTTAGACAATTGGGCTATCTAATGATACTATTTTATACGAAGTATATCTTTTGTGCTAGAACTATAATTTCCTTTGTTACAACTCTCACATCATTCATAAAAAATGCATATTATTTCAAACTCATTGATTTATTTTAATATACTTAGAAGTATATGAAACTTTACTGCACACTTTAAATTATAAAAAAGATTTAAAATAAAGATTATAGTTTCATTCATACAATATTAAACATTGATTGTACACCAATAGTTTGAAATCTTATTTTAGTTCAACTCAAGTCGAAAATCTGAAATACACTATTCGTATTACACAATTTTAACTCGAATAAGAAAAAGGAACACTCAAATATATCATTTTCTTTCTCCGCGATTATTCTTATTTCTCATCCACGCAACACCTCTTTCTTTACCAAACACACATATTCCACATTCTTGCATCACATAAATAAACCACCATCCATCTCTAAACGCGCACTGATCAACTAAACATTTCCGATTAATATAGCCCTTCCTTTCTGTGTTTCACTAATCGACTTATATTTCGTAATGAGGTAGAGTAAAGAGTACACTATAATGCATTTGATCTTTTTAAGTACATAAGTTCGAGTTTTTAATGTTAATTGAGTACACCCATTAGATTAACACGTTAATACGACTGAGTTGGCTAACAGAATGCTAATAGGTCGACTTTTTGAAGGTCGACGCTAGCCCCCGGGCGCTTGATCGACTTCCCCTTGGTCGAAGTCAGTCCCCTGCAGGTCGACTTCTCCTTGTTCGATGCACCCTTGCTGGCCGACGCCCCCCGCAGGTCGACTTCCGAAGGTCGATTTTCCTTTCTTGTCGACTTCGTGAAGGTCGGCACCATAACCTCGGTCCATTACCCCTTCTTACTCGACATTCGTTAGCCAACTCAACTGTATTAACATGTTAATCCAACAAATGTACTCAATTAACACTAAAATCCCGAATTTGTATACTTAAAAAGATCAAATGCAATATAATGTACTCCTTACTCCACCTCGTACAAGTTGATGTACTCAATTTACCATTTCCTCATTTCGTAATCTTGATTTTTTTATGGATATGACTCTTTCTCAGTTCATGATCCCCCCCAAACTCCGAAGTAGAAATAGGTTCTAGAACTCACTTCCACTGGCAGTCTTTAGGAACAGTAGATATGGGGATGCAGCCCCAAAAATGATTACAAAAATATTAGGCCCAATTAGGGGTGGGATTTTGGAACTGGGAACCGTTAAAATGGTTGGAACCGAACTGTTATAACCCGGTTCGGTTCCTACAAATGAGGTATTAGTTGTTAACGGTTCGGTTCCTAGTTGTTGTTAACAGTTCGGTTCCCGGTTCCTGTAAAAAATATATGCACGGAACCGTTAATGAACCGATATTAAAAAAAATAGTAGCAGTATTCGTAGTAATACTAATATAACAAAAATAAACACAACAACAACAATAATAATAAATGAATGATATTTAGCCAATAATTCTAATTTAATTTAATCTATGAAAACAAAAATAATAAATATTTGCACATGAGGTTGAATACATTAAGCTCTTTTTACAAATCAAGTTTTGTTCCATCAATAGGAGTAGAATGTAGTGATGCTTTTATATTTGTACATGCAAACTCAATGTATTTATAGGTTTTGAGAGGCAAAAAGTGTACTCCTATCCTTGCCACTATAATGATGAACAACCTTCATTTTAACGATATAACCAACGATTTTTATATTTTATGTATTAAATGAAAATTAAAATTTTCTTTTTATTCTATTAAGTGTTCACTTAAGCCTGAACTTTGATGTTTGGAACGATTAGAACTCTAAATAAATGTTTATGACTTGTTGACTTTTTGACGTTTTCATGTGGTAGAAGCTAAACTATGTGTAAATTCTTACACGAAAAAAATTATTCTAGGAACCGATAAAAGCAAGAACCTAACCGTTTAGTATTGGTTCGGTTCCATATCGGTTCTTGGTTTTTTATATAGGAACTGAACCGATTTCATTTGTTAAAATTTAAATAATGATTCGACTATTTTTGAGTAAGAACCAAAACGGTACCGGACCTAGGCCCAATATTCTTGTCCAACAAACCAAAGGTCCAATTTTAATTAAAGGCTTGAGGAAGCCGAGCAAACATCTCTAAGTCGGGATCCATCGACTTCTATCATCCACAAACGGTTGAACGCTCCGCCAAGTCGCCGATTCTCTTAGCGGTTTCATCCTCCGTCAGACGCCAACACGCAGCACATCAGCAGCACCGCAGCACGCCTCTTCAGTCGTCAACTACTCACATCACTCCCGTCGCTCAGTCGCCTGCTCTCAGCCACTCAACCTTCAGCGGCTCAGTCAATCGGCGCTTCCCTCAATTTTCACATCCAACCATTCATAGTCCCGGTATTTCTTCAGTCCTCTTTTATTGATTAGCTCAATAATAACTTAGTTCATTGTTTGTTTTATAAATATTTAGTTAAATACTTAAATTAGTAATATCTTTGTATGTCGAAACCTAAGAAAACCGAGAAACACATTTTTATTTTCCCACACGCATCACCAGAACGACAGAACCAATCAGAAAAAATATAAGATAACAAATCTTTACCTAAGATCTCAAAATGGCAGAAATTTACGAATGTTTTTATTTTCAGAAAACTTGCCCTCTGCCGGTCAAAAATCACTCGAAAAATCGGTTAGCCTAAAAGTGGGGTTTTTGTATATTTGTTTTTTGAGAGGTTTTTATTTTGGTTAGAAAATAATTGGACTCATTATAACTTTATATCATTATTATATAATTGTTGTACCCAACAACTGGATGTCGTCTTTCTGGTGATCAAAATTAAACATGAAAAGCGTATTCAATGGAGCATATTTCTATATTTCTTTGATTCGTATTTTGTTAAGGAACCCAATTTATGTGGAATTTGTGTACATAATCTAAGCTTTATGTACCCTTCAATTTATGTACCCAGTAATATGAAACTTAAGTACCAGCAGTATGGTTGAAGGCAAATATATGGAAGTAGTCAAATTTGATCACAAAATGATACTGAAAAAAGTATAAAATTCTCCTAGTTTCTCTACTACGTATTTTGGCTTATTACAAATTTAATCCGTAATATAAGTTCTACAATTTTTATATAAGAAAACCAAGTTATTAATTTAAGATTAGTTTTTTTAATTACAATTTTTTGAAGTAATTTTTTTTAAATGTCCAATTGACCAAAGCACATTTTTAAGATTCATTAAGAAACTAACCTCAATATACTCTCAATTGGCTTAAATCTGTTTAAATTTTGAACAGAATGTATAAAAGAAAATACTAAAGAAATCATTCATTATGTAAAGCTTAAATGAATGTAGAGATGATTATTCATCACTCATCAGGAACATCATTAAAACCAACGACATATGTGAGGCTTATAGAGTTATATTGGTCATCTTTAGCTTTTAGATAATGCTTCTTATGAAATTCAAAAAGTCAAGGTTTATTATGTAGCCTTTAATTGAAATGCATCCACAGTATTTATTCATCGAAAGCTACATTGGAAGAGTTTCTAATTGAAGAATTCCACATTGAGAACATGTTAGGAGTCTAGAAGAATACTTCAAAATGGCCTCCAAGCCTCACTCCATATGTAATTGCATTAATTCTTGAACCTTGAGAAGACAATTAATTAGTTTAAATTGTTTACACTCTGTCTGCATGTACTTCGAGAAGCACAACCTAGGGGAGAAAAATACCATAGTATATACTCCGTATAACAAAGAATACAAAAATTAATTACTAATGCTATGGAAAAAGATGTACACATCTCGGTGAATCCTAAAGGCTAATGCAATTAAATGCTTCGAGAAGCTCAAGACACAATATTTAAATCTAGCAGTCTTTATTCATCCAAGACCTAGATAAATGGAAAGACATCATTGCAACCGAACATTTTCTCTTTCTTCCTTTATGTCACTCGGTATTTTATATGTAGGTGCATCCATAGTATTAAAGAGTTCTAGAACAATTGAAATACAATAATCCTTAATTAAGTGATTAATTGTTTGGCGTGAAAACTGCTGCCATGCAACGGTGCAACTTCCTTATTTTCTATGTACATTTTTTCCCGCCCAACACCCCTTGTCCTCCCTCCTTGGGACTTTTGTGTTTTACTATATTATATAGATTCTACGCTAAGTGGGGTTATTTGCATAGAGACATGGATTGGGCTGCTGTGCATAAAATCTGGGATAAGTGGGCATCTAACAACTTTGGTTGTTCAGGTGATGCGTATATACACATTCGTCCCTAATTCATACTCTACATCATTACAATTTGATTTACTGACAATGTGGATAATGCGACTTTAAGATCAACATTTGAAGGCTGCTTTGCTTTTAAACTACGATCCAAACGGACCCTCCCGCCTTCTATCGGCTATGTAAGTGCGAATAGCTTTAGTAATTTTGGGTGGAATGTGTCATGTGTTTCCATTGCTATTAGACTGTAAATCCTAACACGTTTTCTTCTATCAGTAGTCATGCTGTACCATTTTAGCATCTGAGCTCTTTCCGTAGATGTATGTTCGAAAGTTAGCATGAACATTAGATGTGGCGATTTGAAACTGTTGGGTGTGTTTCGAAAACTAAAGAAAATTAATTAATAAAGATTAATTAAATAAAATGACTCAAAGAAAAACAAGAAATGAGATGAAGCAGAATAAGCCAAAGCTCGTGCTACGCACGATTTCCTTAAAACGTATTCGTTGCCTCCCAGGCTGCTAGGAGCGTTGCAACGATCGTTTCCCAGGATACGATGACTTCGAACAATAGTTTAGCACTCAAACTAAAGTTCCAACGAACGTGAACTAAAGCAGAACACCGAAGGAGTTTGTATGAAGTGCTAGAGGTGCTGATTTAGCTATGAAAATACGTGAACGAAGTGTATGAAAGGTTGTGTCTTTGCAAAGAACCTACTAGCCTTTTATAGGGGTGGATTAAGGTGTGTTAATGGCTGTTTAAGGGTTATGATCGTTGGACATCAATGTCCTAAACGTTGGGCATTGATTCCAGTCCTTAAACAACCCAAAATGTTCATATGAACGTTGGGACATCAATGGCAGCATATAGACGTTGGGCATTTATGTGCATGGAGCAAAAATTAAAGTAGGAACGTACCGGAAGAACAAAAATTAACGTTATCTTTAGAAGATAGATTTTCGGACGGCATTCGTGTGTGCAGGTCGCCCGCACACGCAAGTCGCGGTTTTTGTTCTTCGGTTTCAGGATTTGATTCGCACCCCCCCGCGCGCGTGAGAGAGCCTTTCCCTTTAGGAATCTTAACTCCTTAGGGGGGGTTTCCCTTTATAAAGGGTTCAAATTCCTTTGTGATTTTCGGTGTGGGAAAGAACCCACACTAAAACCCACATTTTCTTAGTTTCATCCATTCCAACGGGTAAACTTCGAAAAACAATTTCTCATTCACCCGTTATCCGTTTTGAGTGTACCATATATCGAATTGTAGCCCTTAGCAAGGACAATCCGAAACCACTTTGACCCGACCCAAATCGGAAGTGGACCCCACTCAAATAATTGCCCCAAAATGACCATTTAATACACTTTTAACACACTTTTTCCAACAATCCCCCACATGAATGAAAATTGATTTTCGAGACTTAAAAAGACACGAAGATAGGAGGACACGTTGTGTTCACCGGATGATCCCTGCACACGGAGAGGTAGGTTTTATCCTTTGAACCTTCCGCTGTAAAGACACGTTTATTTACTGGCTGTCTAGTAGACTCGATGTCCTTGAATTATACTGCCGTCGTGTAAACATTGACTTATCTTTACACAAGAACCTTCCAACTTTGTTCCGTTCTCATGGGTGTGCCCGTTTTGGCCATGGGTCACCGTCCTGGTTCTGCAAGAGTTTCTAAAGAACTGAGCCATTACAGTTCTCCTTTGAAGCGACCCTCTTCTCTCTCACATAGGTGATTCTTTCATGAGTATCCCGCATACTCTTCCAATGTTATCGAGTAGATCAACATTTTAGAATCATTAAAGCAAACGTTTTTGCTAACCTCGTGCGGGAGTCACTGTTTCAACGAGGAGTGGGTAGGAGTCCGGGACCCCCACAGTGACCATCCTTCGCTCTATAATTTAGTTGTCCCTTTTGAACCTAGGACCAACTAGATTGGGTATCCACTATAGAACTTTTCAATTTACGGGCTTTAGTCCCATTCCTCGAGATAACTTCTCCAACAATTCTCTATCCAATGCCTTGGTTAGCGGATCTGCTACGTTATCCTTTGACATCACGTAGTCAACAGTGATAACACCCGTTGTGAGGAGTTGTTTAATGGTGTTATGTCTACGACGAATGTGTCTAGACTTACCATTGTAGAGATTGCTCTGTGCCCTTCCAATTGACGCTTGACAATCACAATGTATGCATATCGGAGGGACAGGCTTCTCCCAACTTGGAATATCCTCGAGAAAATGGCGTAGCCATTCAGCCTCTTCAGTGCACTTATCCAAGGCTATTAGCTCGGATTCCATCGTGGATCTAGCTATTAACGTTTGTTTCGAGGATTTCCACGACACTTGTGGATTTTGAGTCCTTAATGTCAGATATCCAACTAGCGTCGCTATACCCTTCAAGTACAACTGGATATCTTCCATAGTGCAGTCCAAGGTTTTGGGTTTTGCGTAAATACCTCAAAACCCTCACTATTGCATTCCAGTGTTCATCACCGGGGTTACTAGTATATCTACTAAGCTTACTAACCACAAAGGCAATATCAGGCCTGATACAACTCATTAGATACATCAAACTTCCAATAATCCTAGCGTATTCTACTTGAGAAATACACTTTCCACGATTTTTGGTAAGATGAGTGTTTTTATCTAATGGCGTCCTTGCCTCTTGATAATCATCCTTATTAAATTTAGTAAGGATTTTATCAACGTAATGGGATTGGCTTAGCGTTAGACCGTCAGGTCCTCTAATTATTTTAATCCCAAGGATTAAATCTGCCAGCCCCATATCCTTCATGTCAAACTTAGAATTTAACATGTTTTTGGTAGAATTAATCATTTGATTATTGCTACCCACGATGAGTATATCATCCACGTATAAACATAAAATGACATAGCCGTCTACCGTGTTTTTCACATAGACGCATTTGTCACTTTCGTTTATCTTAAACCCATTAATTAACATTGCATGATCGAACTTTTCGTGCCACTGTTTAGGGGCTTGTTTCAATCCATACAATGATTTAATTAATTTACAAACCTTCTTTTCATGGCTTGGAACACGAAAACCCTCGGGTTGTTCTATATAGATTTCTTCGTCTATATCGCCTTTTAGAAAAGCGGTTTTTACGTCCATTTGATGAACTTCCAAATTCCGCAAAGCGGCAATCGCTAGTATCATCCTAATGGAATTTATTCTCGTCACGGGAGAATACGTGTCAAAGTAATCATGGCCCTCGCGTTGCTTGTATCCCTTGATTACAAGTCTGGCCTTATACTTATCAATGGAACCGTCTGGTTTCATTGTACGTTTAAAAATCCACTTGGATCCCAAAGGTTTACATCCCGGAGGGAGATCAACCAATTCCCACGTGTGATTTTTTAGGATAGAGTCCACCTCACTTTTGATGGCTTCTTTCCACATCGGTCCTTCGGTAGACGTTACGGCTTCCGTATAAGTCCGTGGCTCATTTTCTACCAAACATGTTAGAAAATCCGGTTCATTTTCTACCATACAAGTTAGAATATTCGAATCGAATTCTACCAGGTATGTGAGAAAATCCGGTCCGAAAGATTTTTCTACTCTAGCACGTTTGCTACGTCGGGGTTCGGGTTCTTCGCCGGATCCCTCGCTAGTATTTTCCATAGCTACGTCAAATGTTCGTTTTGACGTGCTAGGTCCTTCGTTGGACTTACATGGAAATACATCTTCAAAGAATGAGGCATTCCTTGATTCAATTATAGTGTTTTCATGTACATCCGGATTATTCGAATCGTACACTAAAAACCGATAAGCACTACTATTTTGTGCATATTCAATAAAAATACAATCCACCGTTTTTGGACCTATTTTTATTTTCTTAGGTGTTGGTACAAGCACTTTTGCCAAACACCCCCACACTTTTAAATATTGATAGGAAGGCCGTCTGCCTTTCCACAACTCGTACGGAGTTTTATCATATTTTTTTCGGGGAACCTTATTTAAAAGGTAATTGCTTGACAAGACTGCTTCACCTCACATATTTTGTGGCAAGCCCGAACTTACTAGCATCGCGTTCATCATATCTTTCAATGTGCGATTCTTTCGTTCGGCAACACCATTTGATTGATGTGAATAGGGTGCGGTACGTTCATGTACTATACCCACGCTCGCGCAAAAGTCACCAATTGGTGCTTCATACTCACCACCTCAATCACTTCTAACCATTTTAATCTGTCGATTAAGTTGGTTTTCCACTTCATTCTTATAAAGAATGAATTTATCGATTGCTTCGTGTTTATTTTTTAATAAATAAACATAGCTATAGCGAGTGCTATCATCGATAAAAGTAATAAAATATTTATTATCGCCACGTGTTTGTATTGATTTAAAATCACAAACGTCACTATGAATTAATTCAAGTGGCTCTGTTTTTCTTTCAACCGATTTGAAAAACGTTTTCGCTAGTTTTGCCTCTACACAAACTCCACATTTGTGATTCACATCAATTGTGAATTTAGGAATGTGTTCCATGTTAATTAATCTACGTATAGAATTAAAATTAACATGTCCTAGTCTACCATGCCACACATTGGAAGACTCAAGCAAGTAAGCAGAAGAGATTTTATTATTATTATTAATAATAGTCATTACATTGAGCTTAAACATCCCATCAACTGCATACCCCTTCCCCACATACATTCCCGATTTGGACAAAACTAGTTTGTCCGACTCAAAGACCATGCGGAACCCATGCTTGTTCAACAAAGAGCCCGAGATCAAGTTTTTGCGTATCTCCGGGACGTACAACACATTGTTGAGAGTCAGCTCCTTGCCCGAAGTCATCTTCAGGACCACCTTGCCCATGGCTTCAACCTCGGAATGAGCAGAATTCCCCATCCACACCTTCTCACCGTTTGATGGCTCAAAGGTTGTGAATAGCTCCCGGTTAGAGCAAATGTGCCGGGTTGCACCGGTGTCCACGAACCACTCCTTGGAATTGGATCCAACGAGGTTGACTTCGGTAACCACAGCCGCTAGGATGATGTCTTCATCCTTTTGCCCACCTTGCACCAAGTTGACTTGGGAGTCTTTCTTCTTCCGTGGTGCCTTGCAATCCGAGGACTTGTGTCCATTCTTGTTGCAATTGAAGCATTTTCCATTAAATTTGGGTTTGGAAACGCCTCCCTTGGGACCGAGCTTGCTCTTCCCATTATTTTTATTTTTGGAGCCTTTTGCATGCTCCACCACATTGGCCTTGGCGCCGCTAACGATTGGGAGTCTCCCATCGTTCTTCCAATTATCCTCTTCAATCCGCAGACGGAGGATCAACTGTTCCAAGTTCATTTCCTTTCGCTTATGCTTAAGGTAGTTTTTGAAATCCTTCCAAGCCGGCGGCAATAAATGGATAATTGACGCCACTTGGAAAGACTCGCTAACCGTCATTCTTTCATTTCGAATTTCGTTGAAGATCATTTGCATTTCTTCAACTTGACTCAAGACCGTCTTCGAATCCACCATTTTAAAATCAAGGAATCGACCGACAACAAATTTCTTTGCACCGGCATCATCGCTCTTATATTTGTGGTCCAAAGCATCCCATAGCTCCTTAGCCGTAGCTAATTTACTATACACGTCGTACAGAGCATCATGCAGCCCGTTCAACACGTAGTTTCGGCAAAGGAAGTTACTACCGGCGCATCCTCGGTCAAGAAACGTGCAAGACCGAGAGTAGTGAGATAGAAGAGCATCTTTTGCTGCCAGCTCTTGAAGTTTAACCCATTAAATTTTTCGGGTTTCTCCACAGAGTTGCTCGGCACGGTCACCATAGGGATAGCCCTTTGGTTAACCAAAGCAGATGCACCGCGTTGTGAACTATTGTTCACCGGAGCTCCGATTTCAGAGTGATTATCGTTCAAACCGTTCAAAGCATTCTGCCCAACAACATTTTCATTTTCTTGAGAAGTCATTTTTCGTTTCTTACGTTATTCGAAAGCACAAAAAACAAGTCCGTTCACCAAGGTGACAAAGTACAAGTTTTAAGATTGTTTACCGTAGTAGAACAATCACCGAATACGTTTTAAGATTGTTGGGTGTGTTTCGAAAACCAAAGAAAATTAATTAATAAAGATTAATTAAATAAAATGACTCAAAGAAAAACAAGAAATGAGATGAAGCAGAATAAGCCAAAGCTCGTGCTACGCACGATTTCCTTAAAACGTATTCGTTGCCTCCCGGGGTACTAGGAGCGTTGCAATTATCGTTTCCCAGGATACGATGACTTTGAACAATAATTTAGCACTCAAACTAAAGTTCCAACGAACGTGAACTAAAGCAGAACACCGAAGGAGTTTGTATGGAGTGCTAGAGGTGCTGATTTAGCTATGAAAATACGTGAACGAAGTGTATGAAAGGTTGTGTCTTTGCAAAGCACCTACTAGCCTTTTATAGGGGTGGATTAAGGTGTGTTAATGGCTGTTTAAGGGTTATGATCGTTGGACATCAATGTCCTAAACGTTGGGCATTGATTCCAGTCCTTAAACAACCCAAAACGTTCATATGAACGTTGGGACATCAATGGCAGCATATAGACGTTAGGCATTTATGTGCATGGAGCAAAAATTAAAGTAGGAACGTACCGGAAGAACAAAAATTAACGTTATCTTTAGAAGATAGATTTTCGGACGGCATTCGTGTGTGCAGGTCGCCCGCACACGCAAGTCGCGGTTTTTGTTCTTCGGTTTCGGGATTTGATTCGCACCCCCCGCGCGCGTGAGAGAGGCTTTCCCTTTAGGAATGTTAACTCCTTGGGGGGGGGGGGGGGGGTTCCCTTTATAAACGGTTCAAATTCATTTGTGATTTTCGGTGTGGGAAAGAACCCACACTAAAACCCACATTTTCCTAGTTTCCTCCGTTCCAACGGGTAAACTTCAAAAAACAATTTCTCATTCACCCGTTATCCGTTTTGAGTGTACCGTATATCGAATTGTAGCCCTTAGCAAGGACAATCCGAAACCACTTTGACCCGACCCAAATCGGAAGTGGACCCCACTCAAATAATTGCCCCAAAATGACCATTTAATACACTTTTAACACACTTTTTCCAACAGAAACATTTAAACAAAGGATTATTTCTTTCTTTCAGTGTAGCTCAAGAGGGGATAAAAGCAGATCTAACAGAATTGGGCCAGATTGTTAACTTTGTTAAGAGCAATAAGCTACAGACTGAGAGTTTCTATCTCAGGCAGAACCAATGTGAGTTCTATTGATCACATTATCCTTTTATTATCTCCTCACCTTTTGTCCCTCCTGTCCAAATGCTTTTCTAAACCCTATTCAATTTTTAAGAATTTTAAGTTATTGGAGTTTTAGATGCGCTGGTATTTGAGCATTCAGCAACTACAGCTGCATATCTTTTTTTTTATCTACTCATTTTTAAACCACATTTGGTGTATCTCATCCAACTTATTCTACTTGCTAGCAGAAAAACCAAAATATGCACACATAGACACTGGTTGGTAGCCAAATTTGGTCATCAGAATAACTAGAGTAAACAGAACAAGTAGTTTTAGATTTACCTTTTTCTTTCTGAAATGGATTTGACAAATTGCTTCTCATTTCATTAAATTCAGCACATTCAGCCAAATAACCATCACCAAACGGGCTTTAAGTAGCCTTTGACTTGCCTATTTTCCTAAAACTGATTTTGCCAAATGATTTACCTTGCAGAAAATTCAGCCTATTCAGAAAATAACCTTTACCAAATGGCCCGTCATGTTGAGCTGACAATATAACTGATTATGATTTTCATCCTTTTAAATCACCTCAAGGCCTGAACAAAAAACCACAAATAAAAACTGATTTGCACTGAACTAACCATGGCTGGTATGTCTTTCAATTTCGCAATTCAAAATTGAACTGACCAAACCGAATCAACAAACATTCTACACTAAGGGGCAAATTACATGGTACATCCGGTTGTAATTTTAAATCTGGGTATTTTTGCAATTTTTTGGCATTTGATCTTTTTACACCTAAAGAATGCTCATTTCTTCATACTCTTCATTCTAACTAATGCATATTGTAATACATACACACACACACGAAAAAGATCACCTCAGGTAGTTCTCATGAAAAAGTCACCTTCCCGGTGGAATTTTTTGATGACATTTTTTGGGCATGTTACTAATCAAGTCTAGTTTATCCTCAAAAGATTTCAGCTAAGAATTCAATCGGGAAGGCAGTCAAATAATTTTTGGAAGATAACTGTGTTTTTATATGTATATTTTGGAGTAGTTATCTTCCAAAAACTATTTGACTGCCTTCCCGATTGAATTTTTAGCTGATTTTTTTTGTGTATAAACTAGACTTCATGAAGAACATGCTCAAAAAATTCATCAAAAACTTCCACCAGGAAAGCTCTTTGATAGGCAACTTCAGACGGGGCTTCCCGTCAGAACTACCTGAGGTGATTGTTCCTCTCTCTATATATAATGCTCATTTTCCTCAAATGAATGGCCATTTGAAGCATATGGATGTTGAGCGGATCTAATACCATGCACACGATACATCCAGGTGTACTTGGGCTGGAAGGAGTCTGCCTATACTCTTTTAGGACTTGGAACTATCACGCAAGCTATGTATAAAAATATGTGCATGCTACAAGTGGGATATTGTTGCTCCATTAAACTCATTAGGAATCAGTAGGGAAAATTGAATTGCCAAATTGCTCCATTAAACTTGTATTGTCTAGTTGATGAAAATTATATTTTTCACAGATCTTGTCACATCAATTCATGAGACCTGGTTTTGTGCAAGATGCATGAACACTTCTAAACCTGCTGGTGAAGGTGTAATTGTCATGCAAACTGCAGCATTCCTCTTGATTGGACTGTAAGGTTTAATTTGGAACTTGTGAAATGGTTGGGAAGATAAGAAGTAGCTATGGAAAATGTTGAAATGTTTCTTTTTCATGTTTGGTTTTAATTTGAACAATACAAAACCAAGTCAATTTGATTTAAACCAGTAAAATCTTTCATTCAAAATGAAACAGTGTTTTAATATCTTTATTTATTTTTGCATTTTCACTCGCATTTCGTTTCATCCTTTTGTTTTACTAGCATTTTATGAGTTCCAAGCGACCCTGTGTTTGATATTTTTTTGTATCTACCAAATTTGTTTTTTATCTGCATAGAGGCCCATGACCAAGTTGTATGTATGTATTCACAGGTATGAGGGCTCCATAGGCCCATCATCTCATGCAATGGTAGCTCTTGATCAGCTTGCATGCCAACTAAGTAGAAGAAATCTTTAAATCGGTGTGTTTGGACGTGTGGAAGTGAAATTCATATGAATAATCCTTACTTTTAAGGATTCTACAATAATAATCCCTACTCAGAGTGTTTATAAAAATAATCCGAACTAGCAATGGTGTCCATAATAATAAATTAGGGTGGATTCAAATTAATGTCTTTTAATACTCTTGACACTTACTTTCACTTTTCTCTTCCCCACTCTTTTTCTTGGGGTAAATTCAAACTAAAACACGTTTAATCTTAACACCATTTCCTTCATATGTGCTTCTCTTTATGTTGGAACATAAAAATGTTAACCGAGATGAAGAGTGATGAATGGGAAAGTGGAGATATTGGATTGAGAGTATTAAATGTGCATTAGTGTGAATTTACTCTAATTTTTTCTTGTGTACACTATTGCTAGTACGGATTATTTTTATGAACGCTCTCAATAGGAATTATTATTGTAGAATCCATAAAAGTATGAATTATTTTGAATTTTACATTTCCTTTCTGTAATAGTTGTATGGTACCTACTACTACCGATCTATTTGCCACTGTTGATTCTTTTTCCTTCCAAAAAGTTCATGCGTAATTATTAAATCAGGTCTGAAAAAAGACCACTTTCACCAATGCAATTGATTTTACTTTTAGTAAGATGCCACGATTTAAAATTCATCAAATCTAACAGTAATTTAAATTTTATTTTTTGGTCTTGTTAAGCATACTTAAACCAAGAATGTCCATTGCGCTCAACATATTTAACAACAACAACAACATCCAAGCCTTAGTCCCAAAAGATATTGGGGTCGGTTAACATGAATCGATACATGATATCATAAACAAAAGGAAAAGAAGGAATAAAGATAAAAAGATAAGCTATTATGAAAATATCATATAAAAAAGATGAATATATATAGAAATGAAAAAATAAAAAGGCTGCAAATAATGCATATATATATATATATATAAGGATAAAAAAACTAGGAAAAAAAGATGAGGGAAAAATATTATCAAGATCACTCCTTCACGTGAATACCCGCCCTCCACTTAGTTTTCTCCAAAGTCATGCCCTCATCCAACTACAGAAGAAGCATATCAATTCGAACTCCCCTAACCCACGTCTGTTTGGGTCTTCCTCTCCCTCTCTTCCCTGCCTCTTCTCCACATATCTCAACTCGCCTAACAGGTGCATCACTCGGTCTTCTACGCACATGACCAAACCATCGTAGGCGCGACTCCCGCATCTTGTCTTCAATAGGTGCTACTCCCACCCTTTGTCTGATTGTCTCATTCCTCAAGCGGTCCTTCCTAGTATGCCCACACATCCAACGCAGCATGCGCATCTCTGCCACACTCATCTTTTGAATGTGACATTGTTTCATCGCCCAACACTCTACGCCATACAGTAATGCAGGCCTAATTGCTGTCCTATAAAATTTACCCTTCAGTCTAGTCGGCATACCTCGGTCGCATAGAAATCCTGACGCACTCTTCCACTTCATCCACCCTGTTCTGATTCTATGGGATACATCTCCATCTAACTCACCGTCCTTCTGAATTATGGAGCCCAAGTAACGAAACATATCGCTGACTGGTATCTCCTTACCATCCAGAGTAATTCCGCTACTACCACTACTTCTACCTCCACCAAACTTGCACTCCATGTACTCTGTCTTGCTCCGACTTAGTTTGAAACCCTTATTCTCCAATGTTTGTCGCCATACTTCCAACTTTGCTTTAAGACCTGATTGCGTCTCATCAATCAATACAATATCGTCGGCAAACATCATGCACCACGGTATATCGTCTTGAATTGACTTCGTAAGTTCATCCATGACTATGGCAAATAAGAAAGGACTCAAGGCCGATCCTTGGTGCACTCCGATAGTAATAGGGAACTCTTCAGTCCTCCCTACACTAGTACGAACACTTGTAGTACAATCCTCATACATATCCATGATGATGCTGATATACTTGCGTGATATGCCTTTCCTAGTTAAGGCCCACCAAAGAACTTCTCGAGGTACCCTATCATATGCCTTTTCTAAGTCAATGAACACCAAATGCAGATCCTTATGAGCATCTCTATACTTCTCCATATTTAACATGTTTGGAAATTTATTTTTACAAGAACCCGCGAATTTAATGAATTTAGCTTATTTTGTGAGGCAAAAGCAAGTTTTATTTTGTGAGGCAAAAGCAAGTTTCTCAAAATCGACTCCTTTTTCAGGATAGGTGGGGTACTTGCATTTTTAGCTATTGAAATGACTGGTTATTGACAATTGGGAACAGATTTTGCAAAAAAAAAAATCTGTTCTTTGTTTTGGAACAGATTTTGCAAATTCATACATGCACTTGAGCGAATGAATATCCTCAAACACCATCTTATTTTGTGTGTGTGTTTTTTTGGCTGAAACAGAAGAGGTTTCAGACTAGGCATGGACTCGGGCCCGGGCCGGGATCGGCCTGAGGTTTGGACGGGTCCGGTTCGGGCCGGGCCACCCGCCCGGGTCACGGGCCGGGCCACCCGCCCGGGTCACGGGTCGGGCCACCTGCCCGGGTCACGGGTCGGGCCACCTGCCCGGGTCACGGGTCGGGCCACCCGCCGGGCCGGTTAAAACCATTTTTTTTAATTTATAGTTTATAGTTTTATACAAGTATTGAAAACAAACTTCAAGTGCATTTATTTGAAATGAAATAGGAACTACATTTGAAAATTGAAGGTAAAATTAAAACATGAAATACTAATCAATCGAAATCTCTGACATAGGTAGAGATACCCTCGGTTGTAGATTCATCCATAAAGTGTTGGGATGAGGTAATGTCAATTTCTTGAGCTCTACGGGCCGCTTTCAACCAATTGTGATAGCATATAAACATCTCAACAGATTATGCGCTCAACCTCGTTCTACGTTGCGTTATGGAAAAATGTTTAAGATTAGGAGTATTTATAGGTTTTTTTACCCACCCCCACCCCCAAACCTCCTGGACCCCCCTGCAGCCCACCCAACGGTCATCTTTGGCCCAAAAGTTTTTTTTTAAATATAGCTGTTGTGACCCGGACCCGGGCCCGACCCGGCTGGGCCGGGTCACATTTTGCATGAACCGAGCCCGCCCCCGCTTCCCCCACCGGTTTGGGTCCACACCCGGTCCCGGACCGCCAGACCGGACTGGTCCCGGGCCCGCACAGTAGCGGGCCGGGTGGCCCGAACCGAATCCATCCCTATTTCAGACTACCAGACTCTAAACTTGGTTCCACTTGTGAATAACAACGATCAGAGGGGCCTGGATCAAGAGGTAAGCTGGAAGCAACTATCGTTACATAGTGAGTAGGGGCGATCTATCTTCTGAAGGTCAGTTTTGTCACAAAACCATTCACCAACTGCTTCTGCAAGTCTGCCATTTTTGTCATGGATGTGTGTCAAGTATACATATGCATGTATGTAACAGTTATCAATTATTCACAAATGATAAAGGTGCCCTAAAGTGTGTCCCATTTTTACACGTAAAAAATGTGTGGCAATAAATGAGACAATTCATTTAAGTGAGACACCAGTTAAATGAATTATCTCATTTATGATTAAAAATGGAGTACATTTTAAGGTGAGTACCTCTAGCAAAACTCTCGATTATTACCGACAACCTTTGAGAGTTGGGGCGGGGGTGTGTCACAGGGTTTGCAATTCAGCGGGGCAGTGCAGATACGATGCCTAGCTTTTGTACAACAATTATGTTGTACACCCATCAGCCAGTCGGTCTAACATGTTACACGTCACATATATCCATCGGCTTGTTTGCAAGTAGATATAACGACAAAGGAATTTGGTAATATGAAACAGTTCACTGGCATAGTGATGTGCCTTCAAGGGTGGACTGTAGTACAGACCTATGGGGTTACCGCCTCCAACAATAATTTTTTTTTGGGTATATATATATATATATATGAAAAATAATTTTCTCTCTCTGGAAAAATATTTTGAACCCTCCAAAAAATATTATCGCCCCTTCAAGATGATTTTCCTGGGTCCGCCCCTGTGTGCCATGACATGGGGCATAATTGGCACATGCAAGCGTCTGTTGATCTAGTGTTGCAATTGGCTACTGGTCACAATTCTAGGGTAGGATTGGACTGGGCCGGTTCGAACCAGCCCGGTACCCGGTCTGGTCTCTACTGTACGGTACCGGACCAGCTGACTGGGTCTGGGACCGGGTTAGGGGGCGGGCTACGGGACGAAGGAAACGGTGACCAGCCCGATCGGTCCGGGACTGGTCCATGCCATAACGGTCATATTTAAAAAAAATAAAACTTTAAATGGCTTTGCAACCATGTGTGGGGTGTCCAAACGGCTATATAGTTGTTGGAGCCTGTCTGGGGTTGGGGGGGGGGGGGGGGGGGTTAAAAACTATAAATATTCTTAATTTCTAAACATTTTTCAACACTTGTTCTCCAATTATTCCTATTCTCTAATACTCTTTAGTCATCTTCATCTTCTCCAATTCTCTCATTCTCTCTACACCTATTAATATATATCATATTATTCATATCTATTTAAATTAGTTATAGAATTATTATATCTACTTATATATTTATTATCTACTTATAAATACATATATTATATCTACTCATATTTATTATCTACTTAATATATACTTATTATCTAATATCTACTTATTATATACTTGTTATTTACTTATATTTCTATACACTACATCTAATTAATATATTGAGTATATATATTAAAGTATAAAATATAAGTGTACTACTCATCTTATAGTAGTGTACTTATATATTATATACTACTATTAGTTACACTTTAATTAATATTAGTTAAATTTATCATATTACTTACACACTCACACTCCCATTAATTAGTGTGCATTCATACATTTTCCCTATTAGTTATATTTTTCATTAATATTAGTTAATAAGTTAATTGTTACATTTCTCATTTTGTCACCTTTAATATTTGTTACATTCTCATTTGTTACATACTCATACTATTTGCATTTGGAGTTTATTTTAATATACTTGTCACATTATCATATTAATCATATAAAAATTGTTAGATTAAAATATAAGAGTAGTTGCATTTTTACTTACTTAAACTACACTTGTTATCTACCAAAATATAAAAGTAGTTGGAATTTTAGTTAATTAAACTTTAAAACTAGTTGGAATTTTAGCTAATTTTACTACACTTGTTAGATTAAAATATAAAAGTAGTTGGAATTTTAGTTAATTAAAGTATAAAACTAGTTAGAATTTTAGTTAATTTTACTACATTTGTTAGATTAAAATATAAATGTAGTTCGAATTTTAGTTAATTAAACTATAAAACTAGTTGGAATTTTAGTTAATTTTACGACACTTGTTAATTAGATTTTAATATAGAAGTAGTTGGAATTTTAGTTAATTAAACTATAAAACTAGTTGGAATTTTAGTTAATTTTACTACACATGTTATATTGAATTATTAAACTAGGTGGAATTTTAGTTAATTAAACTGGTAAACTAGTTGCAATTAATAAAAAGTCACATTTTTATATTATAATCACATTACTTACATTTTAATATAAAAGTCTCATTTTTAGTATTGTTACAAATTACTTACATTTGTTATTACTTGCATTGTTTTTGTACTCACATTAACATATTTGTT